TCTCCACGGGGGGGGGGGCCTGTGCTCTAGCCAGGGCGCCAGGGATGGTGGCGCTGCCTCCGATGATCCTTTCTGTCCTCACTCCTGCTTTACTTGATTCCAGGCCTTTCCACCTGCGCCCCTGAGGATCAGCCAAACCAGAGAGGAAAGGACCCCGGGAAGCTTTCCTACAGCAGCGTTTCTGCTCAGCCACCAGCGCTCCCTCCGTACAAAGCACACCGACGCCCTGACCACGGGCGGAACGGCCTCGCGTGCGCTCCGAGGGCTCCTTGGCCTGGCATGCTCTGCTTCGGGGTCCCTCCTCAGCCCGGCGCCAGGGGGGACCCCGCCACCCAGGCCCCTCTGGTCATCTTGCGCCTGGAAGATCTGCATTGGGCTTGCCCTGTGCCCCTCGACCTCCAGCTCAGGGAACTGGGCCTGCAGGCGCCTCTGAGCCTGAGAAGGGCCCAAGGCCGTCCTCACCGCCCCAGGGCCTCGCTTCAAGGCCCAGCGGCCTGCGATCGGTCAGTTCTCTGCGCGCCCTCGCTCCCCGCACCCTCCCCCCGGGATGCGGCCAAGGACCCGGGGCCACTAGACAGTCGTGGCCGGGACTCCTGGCCCCTCTCCCTGCCTCTCCGCTCCCTCCAAGTCGCCCTAAGAAAATAAATACAAGTGACACGGTGCGAGGCCAAAGCTCATTAGTTCGTTGTCCAGGCCTAATAAACGAACAGAAGCGCAAATTAGAGGGCTCAGCCTCCACGCACGCTCTGTCACCCGACATCAGCGGGCCTCCGGCGTGATTCGGGGGCTCCCGGCTCGCTGCGCAGCCCGCCCCACCCCCTCCGCCCCTTCAGCGGGAAGCAGGGTGGAAAAACATAGTTCCAAAGGGGGTAATGATCAAGCTTTTCCTCCCGGAAGCCTGCGCCACCTCATTTCCCATCAGTAATCCCAATAAAATCAACGTCGTGGCTGCGATTGCAAAGAGGAGGGCCCCGCGACACCCCTGAAATAACACTCTCCCCCCAGGCCCCCCCCCACCAGCCAAAGGTAAAATACGCAAACGGCCCTTTGTTCGTCTCATTAGCGAAGGCCCCGCTCCGAAAGCAGATGTGTTTTCTTAGCTAATCACAAGCATGAGTCTCTCAAGGAACGCCATTTTCAGGGGGCCGCTTGGGGGGATGACAGCGCACCCCCACACCCAGGCCCTCTCTGCCTCAGGGGTGTCTCACCCCAGACCAAGAGCCACAGGCTGAACCCAGGCAGCCCGTCTCCCACACCCCTGACCCCACCTACTGCCCCCAGAGGCCCAATAGCCACACCTGGGCCCCATGTCAGACCTGCAAGACTCCAGGGGGGAAAAAAGAAAAGTTTTAACGACACAGATGCCATATTAAATGAGGCAGCTTGACAATTCAGTTTGACTAGGACGCTAACTTATTGCAAGTGTGTTATCAGAAGGATGGTAAGGTTTGTAACTCCAAGTCAGCTTTTTGCCTTCATGACAACGGGGGTGACGCGTGGAAATCTGTTCTCTAGGAGACACGAGGGCCCCTTCCCTGTTTGGGGGCACCTACAGATATGGGGGGCAGACCCCAAGCCCCCTTTGTGTCCTAATGGGCAATTCGTCCTTTGCCCTTTGGTTCTGAAACCGGGTCTCCTGGCTGATGAAGTGCCTGGCCCAGCTTTGTAGCCTGAGCTTGGGGGGGAGAGAGAAAAAAAGTGGGGGGCATAGAAGAGGGATGGAGTTGGAGGCGAGAGGGGACAGTTCTCAGCCCTGGGGTTCACGCAGCCAATGGATTCCCCAGTCTCTCTCCCTCTGCCCCACGGAACATGGCTTTCCCCTAAACCAACACAGTAAGCAAACTTTCAAAAAACGGGGGTCCTATTACCAACCAACGCCCAGGACTAACTGCTTTAAAATTACTGCATAATTAGATTTAGCTGAATTTCACCATTAATTAGGCAGCCGCGCGGCAGGGAGCCTTTGAAATCTGAGAAAATGGGAAAAAATCATCTGAAGCACGTTTGGAGAAACCCAACTTCAATATATCTGGACGAGGCCCAGCATTCGGAGGGTCCCCACCCCCCTCCCGTCCCCGGCGGCCGAGGGGTCGGGGCTGGGGTTGGAACTGGACGGCAGGGGCGGTCTGGC